GTCCAACAAGCTAATCCTCCGAGGTCTGAAGAGGCGGCTCAAGGAAGCAAAGGGAGGGTGGACCGCCGAGCTCCCGCACGTGCTCTGGGCACACCGCACAAACTACAAGCGGGCCACCGGAGAAACTCCATTCGCCCTGAAGTACGGCTCCGAGGCGGTCGCTCCCACTGAGGTCATCCTGCCCTCGTGAAGGGTCCAGGCGTATGATGCAGAGGATAACCACAAGAAGCTGCTCCACCAACTCGACATGATAGAAGCAAGGAGGGATGCGGCGCTAGCTCGAACCGTGCAGGAAAAACTCAAGGTGGCCAAGACATACAATGAGAAAGTGAGGCCTCGCCCACTTGAAGAGGGAGATATGGTGCTCAAAAGGAACTTCGAACAGAAAGAGGGGCATGGAAAGCTGGCCGCCATATGGGAAGGACCATTCCTGGTCGCCGAGAAGATCGGAACCGCTACATACGTGCTAGCTTCCATGGGAGGACAGCCAATTCCCAAGACATGGAATGCAATCCATCTCAAGAAATACTTCAGCGAATAGGAGAGGTCATGAGGAAAATTTTGTTGGGAGCCGCCGCTACCAGTTGTAGCACTTTTGTAAAGCTTCGCAGCTTCGCGTCCCTTAAGTTTAAACTCCAATATTTTCAGTCGCCGCTGAGCGATGCGGTTCCACACTGCCGCCAGCATGGGGCGTCTTTTGTAAAGCTTCGCAGCTTCTCACTCTCTAGTTCAAACCCCTATTTTTCAACTGCCTCCATAACTCTTCCCAAATTCGCACCAACGAGCACGTAAGACCGCGTTAAACCTCACTCTCAAATCGAAATAACCGCCCCTGAGCGCTAAGCTTGAGCACGTTCCCCCCAAGTCAAAATAACCGCCCCTGGGCATTAAGCTCGAGGCAAATCCTCGCCACTATGTCCCGACCGCTGCGAGGCGGTCCGTTAACGGAGAGGTCATCCTTCCTTGACTTGTTTTTTTCCTAGCAAAATTGAAAGCCCGTTTAGGCGCCCTAGATTTTCGTTTCCGCCTCGTAAGGCAGGATGAAAAAGAGGGATAAAGCAAACATCCCACTCACAACATCAACGAAGAACATGCATGAGCCTAACTCTAAGGCAGAATGAAAAAGAGAGATAAAGCAAGCATCCCTGCAAATATTACATAAACCATCGCACTAAGGCGGAATGTATCAGTTAAGCAAAAAGGAAATAAAGACGCTCTCCGACGTCAAAAGCTAACTTAGGAAGAACCGCCATCAACGGGACCGGGTTGATCCACCTCACCGCCAAAAGTGGGATCTGCAGACTGGACTTCCTCGGAGTTAACATCGTTGTCACCCCAGAACTCCACTGCGTCCCAAACCGCATTTCGATCCCAATGCACGTAGGGGTGATCCCGACGGAAAAGGTGGCGGATGGAAGCAACCGTGTCCCGCAGCAACTTCTGATACTTCGCTTCATCAATCGCCTTATATTCATCGGACTCAAAGAAGGAGGCGCGTGCTTCCTGCCTGGCCTCATCCAAATCAGCCTCCCTCCGAGCCTCCAACGCGGCCATGCTGGACCCCAACTCCTGAACTTTGTCCTGAAGCTTCTTCTCCCTCTCTGCGGTCTCCAGCATCTCCTTTTTGGCTTCTGCTAGCTCCTGGGCGGTTTTCGTCAGCTCCTCCTGCGCGGTCCGCAGCTCTGCATCCTTCACCTTCTAGGCCGCCTCTTGCTCCTTGAGTACTTCCTCCCGAAGTTCCTGGCGAATGTCCTCGCGCCCATCCTTCAGCTGCTTCTCAAGCGTGAGGATGCGGGAATCCCGGTCGCCTAGGTCGTCCAGCAAGCGCTCATTGTGCAGGATCAGCTGACTTATACCAAATTGCGCCTAAGTGTAAGAATCCAGATCAGTACCTTACGACTAACGTACGAAACAAACTAGGACATGGTTTAAACACTCACCGCAAAGAAGCATCGAGCGGTCGTCCCAGCCAGGTGGCGGGTGTCCGAAGTAGTGGGGATGGTGCCCGCGACCCGCACGAACTCACTCGGGACGGTGAACCCATCGGCGATAGCATGAAGAGCGCGGCGTGCCGGTTCTGCGGAGGAAGTAACATGCGGGGAATACTGCACACTGGCCGACAGCTCTGTTGTCTTCTGCCTCTTCGTACCAGCTGGCGATTCGGGACGCTGGTCAACCTGAACCCCCTTCAGCTTCGGCTGCACTTCCGAAGGCGTCTTATCCTTGACAACCGCAACGTCCAGGGAGCGTTTGTTGCTAACCCGGGCCGCACCCTGGCTGCTGGGAACGGTCAGCTTCAACTTCCCGGAGCGCCCCATAGCCAGATGTGATTGGGTTGAACCGCTGGCCACTCGGGGTCCTCCGGAGCCCCCGGGAATGGAAAGAACGGCTGAAGGAGAACCGCTCGTGGCCACCTTGGGCGGTCGGGCGGACGACGCGTACCGGCGGATCCCTGAAAAGTAAATACATAAGTAAAGGCATGAGCAAGCAACATTTCATCATAACCAAGGGAAACTAACTAACCGTGAAAACGTTGCACAATCTCAAGTGCATTATCATGCCCGTGCGGGGGCAGCCGAAACTGAACGGTCGAAGTGATGCGGTCCAGATGAAGTCTCAGATGCTGGAGCTCCTTGACACCGTCGTCCCAATCCTCCGTTCTCCCAAACGAAAATGCGGTTAGCGGTTCCGCATCGCCCGAATACCATTTACCAGACGGACGGGCAAAGAAATACTCGGCGTACCACGGCGAGTCTAGCTTAGGAGATCCAAAAACGAACCCGACCTTTTTCTCCCTCCTTCGTGGCGACCAGCAATTCTTCGAGCCAGTCATGGCATATAATAGCCGGAAAGCATCAACCGAAGGCTCCTTTTTCAACCGGTCGCAGGCCGCACGATAGCAAAGGGAGTGGAAATGATGGAGGGAGAGAGGCGGCTCAAGGAGCAACTCAGAAGTGTCAAGATCCCAGTAACAACTGGATCTAAGGGAAATTCCAACCCCAGCCGGACATGCTCGGTGAATATGGTGATCCACCCCACCGGGCATGAACCGCAGCGCCCTTCGGGGGAGGAAGCCGCATACTCCCAATCGGTAGGTGGCCGGTGCCTGTGAAGCTGACGTAGCACTTGTATCAGGGAGTAAGCAGGCTTGTACTTCGGACCGTATGAGTACACAGCTTTCGTGACCTCCTCTCCCTCCCACATGTCCTCATGAAGACGCACTCGATACTCACGGTCAGAGACCGCCTGATACGGGTGGACCAGAGGCGTCTCCGATAACGCCAGCGAAGTGGAGTTTTCTATCGAGTCTTCCCCATCAGAGTCGTGAGCCGCATCCTTCGGGGCGCTTTCCGATGATAGTTCTACCAGGTTGTCACCTACTCGGGAGGTTCCGCCCCGTTCAACCATGGAGGTGGCCGTGTTATTAAGAGCGCCCGCCCCTAGTCCTAAAATGCAACCGTCAGGCCTATCTAGACGCTCACCCGCAACAACCGCATCGCCACCCCCACACAACAATTCAATACCCTCCGAGTCCCACTCTATGTCAGATAAACTTAAAGGACTAGAAAGATCAGGCATACCTGCTCCAGCAGCAGGACCGCCTGCGCTTGCGGCTTGGGTTCCGGAACGTACGACGCCGGCTCCGCCGCGGGAAGCAGCACCGTCTCCAGGAGCGGTGGCCGCCGCCGCACCGGAGGTAGTCGTCGCCGCAGCAGCCGAGGCAGTGTTGGTGGCGACGTCAGAGGCGGACGGCGGGGCCGATTCGCCGGACAGACCCCGGTTCTGACTGTCGGATGGAGTAGTTGCCTGAGAAACCATGGCGAGCAGTTGTTTTTTCTTCCTCTTGTCTCGTTTCTGGGTTCTCCTCAAAGAGGTCAAGAACCGACGTCGATCCGCTGAAAGAGACGGCCGAGTTTCCAAATAGTGCGAGAGAGAGAATTTGGAGCACCGCGCAATTTTGAAAAGAAGACAGAGAAAGCAGAGGGCGAAAGTGACCAGCAAGGGGAAGTCTGAAATATATATAGCGGCAAAAAGGAAGTGATGTGACTGTTGAGTACCCTAGGCCACATAATTCAAAAGCAGGCACGCGAAAGGACGTTTCGCCTGCCCGATGTCAGAGCACGGAAACCAACCTGCAAGCACGTGTACAAGGCGTCTACACCCGAGACCCGCGAGGCGGTCGAGTTACACCTCAGGCAGTTCAATCCTAGGCCCCTGGCGTCCAGGGGCAGAATGGGGTTAGGAGAAGGCGTGAACCGCTCAACTAGCTAAAAGCATTGTTAATAGCCGCCAAAACCCTAGGCTTTTCCCGCCTAAGGGGCAATTGTTGGGCCGCATAGTTGAGCGTAATTGGGCTTCTGGCCCAAGAGGGGTGCATCCGCAGTTAAGGCCCAATAGGAAAGGCCAGACCCGATCAGAAGACCGGGTCAGCGGGCGGTCCTTGACCGGCCGCAAACCCGAAAAACGGATAAGGATGTCTGACATAAAGCGACTGGGCAACGCAGAGGAGCAGGGAGCCGTTGAAGATGCGTATCCGGTGTCAGGCAAGACTGAGCATTTATTGCAGGCATCAGGCGGCCTGCAGAAAGGTAAAAGCCTGATCGGGACGCCTGACACAGCCCGGGGCGCCCGACATAGCATTTAATGTCCCAACTACCTTCGAACCAGGTATAAATACAGAGTAAGCTCATTTATGGTAAACTCAACTACTACTCATCTCTCTACATAAATCTCTCTTCTTCCCCATTCTCTCTCTAACTTGAGCTTCGGAGAGTGTCCCGGGCGACCGCCCTGGACCCTTGTTTTGTAGAGTATCCGGAGCGCCCCTTCAGTCCAGGAACAAGCGCCTCGCTCCAGCTTCACAAACCGCCTAGTATCTACTAGGCACAAACAGAGATAGTGTAAACGGTCAAGAGTTGTATAAAGTAACTATGATCTTGTGTGTGTGCTAGGGAGGGCTTATCTTTTTGGTTAGATGATTGATTCTCTAGGTGAGTTGGAAATGAATGGACAATTTAAGTATTAACCTAACGGCATATAAGTATTAGGACGGCATGTTTTCTTCAACGTACGTCTGAGCACAATTTCCAGACAAAACCATCAGTAAACAAACGCAACCTGACATGAAAACTCGCTGCACTCAGCCGAAACAAAATGGACAGTAGGATTTGTCAGGTCAGTGCCATACATAGAAATCTCAAATCACTGGCTTTCTCGTATCCCAGCAATGCAAGCCAGATCATCTAAGGGGCAGCTAAATGAAGTTACTCAAGGACAGGCCTCATTGTTTCAGCAAAAAAGATTCCAACACCCAACTATTTACTTCTGCATTCGCAGTATGTCTAGAGGCAAAATCACACTTAGGCTGCAAGAGATGGAGCAAGAAACAAGAAGAATCAAATGGTAGGACAACTAAGATGTCTGCTTGCAAAAATGACTAAATCCCGTTATGCCTCTAGTGAGTAGCCGACTGCAAAGTTGATTCATTCGACTTCTACGAAAGCAACATCCTCTTTTGCAACCTGCCACCACAAACGTCGGTCAGTAATCATGTTACAGCATCAGTTTAAGTGGAGTTTTTCTTATCTTGGCAAAGTTTCTGAAACACAATACCTGGGATATGTACTCTTTAATTTTCTCACTCACTGGTCCATCTAATGCCCTTTCAGCAAGCTCATAGGTTACAGAACTACCATCAGGACCATTCACTTTGCCTTTTTGCAAATACCTGCAATATATATATGCGATAGCAGATGGTTACTCCCAACTAAGTTTCCAAGGTGACAATCGACACTAGAGAAGCAAACACAGAAGCCAATCGTTCAGCTCTGATAACTGTCGCAAAGAAGGAAGGAGGATTCAAACAAACACTTGGTCTAATTATACCTTTGCTGCACTAGGGTCTCCACTGCCTGCTTAATATTTCCAAGGACAGGGTGATGCTCATCCGCCTCATGCAGTCCCAACCGTGTCAATTGAAGCCAAAGATTGTCTGGATGACAAGAATGAAGAATGAACGATGAAATAAAAAAATTAACGCAAATTGCCTCCCAATCTAAGTACTAACAATTTTATGAAAATTAATTAGTTCCATCCATCTCCATCGCATGATCTATATAGCCTCGATAGGTTTAACTAGTGCCTAAACTGGTAGTAAAATCAAAGAGCGGGATAGGTACCTTCCGGTATTTGGCCTCCAGCGAGCTGCACAATGCTAATAACAACAAAGGTAAATCCAGTCAAATGTGCAGTATTAACATCCTCGACATACTTCCCATACACATCAGCAGATAGTTTGCTCATAACAACGTAGGATTTAGCATCAGCAGTACCTGAAATTCGATTCACACAGAAAACCGGAAGTTAGAAACTCGGAATCAGAACAGAAAAGAAGCACACCAACATGTTTTGTTTGCTATGGTCGTACTTGGCTGAGAAGAACCACGCTTGTGGTTGTTCGACATGGGACGAGCACGCTGAAGCTCCCTCATTTCGAGCCCGAAAATGGAGGAAAGCTTCTCTGTGGCCTCCTCAATGACGAGACTGGGAAGCTGCCGCTGACGGTAGTTTCTAGTAATTATCTGAATGAGCTCATCCCTCTTAATAGGGCAACCTGAGTTCTGGTGATTCTTGAAAAGCACATGGCGAATCACTTCTGCAACGAGCTTGTCTTTCTCCTTTAGAAAAACCCAACAAACAGAATACAAGAAAGTGATTTGTCTTTCTCCACATAGAACCAATAAACTGAAAACAGAAAACAGCCCAAGCAAAGAAAACCCTAGTAGAGAAACCGGCACATACCTCTTTGGAAATATTCAATTGAGACAAAATGTCTGGAGAATCGTCCATCCTGAAAGGAAAACTAACTTCGGCGACTGTGGCTATGGAGTGCGCGCGCAACCAAACTTGAGGGATATGGAAGTGGAATTGAACGCAAAATTGAAAATTTGCTTACGGCGGAGATGCGTGGTTGAGTGCAGGGAGGAGATGCGACTGTAGAAAGTAGAAACCCTTACTTTGTGAATGGGAACTTGAGGAAGGGAAGTTTTGAGGGTGGGATAGCGAGGGAAAAGAGACTGAGACGCCTCGCGGCTAGCGATGGCAATGCGGGAACAAGCCAATAGCTCAATACCAAATTACCAATACGGCAATACCCATCTTGTACTAACCGCAAGTGGTATGATTCGATCGGAGTACAATCGGTTTATGTCAATTCATCCTAGTTTAATAAAATGTATATAAATGTAAAAAAAAAACAATTAACACCAAATAAGAAAGGATGACCTCTTACTGAGGATTTGGGACAGAGATTTTAATCTCGATACCCACCCAGACACAATTACAGAGTGCATGAAATCCACATAAAATGATGAAGAGCATCTGTCCAAAAGAGGGTAGGGTACACTAGTGGACGACACCATGCGGTGATCTTCCCTAAAACATAGTATGTAACCCTCATTATTTTCTTTGTATCTGAACAAAGGAATCTAAATAATGTGAGTGTAGTGTGTTATGAGCTGGCAAACAGTACCAGAAGTACCAACTATCCTAATAAGTTGGGAGACAATACCAGGCACCAACTCTATATATAGTCACCTTGTGAGTGTTTATTTCTCAAGTTTTAAAAGAGAGTCTTTCATTGAAAAGGAAAGAGAACGAGTAAAGGTTGAGAGGAGAGCATTATGTAATAGTCCCCTTTGTTTAAATCATATCTCTATAAACCTTCTGAGTTTTCCTCAATCGTTCTCAAACACCTTCTATTTCTTGATATACTTGTGTCTCTTTCTTAACGGTTTGACAAAGATGAGTGCTTTCATAGTAAGACCTTTAGTAGAATCAAAGAGGCAACTCGAACACACAGAAGAACCTCGTAGAGCTTGTGACGGGCAAGAAAGATCAAAGGTATAAGCATAGTGGGCCTTGATAGCTGCTAAGTATATGATTCTAAACTCATCTAGCTTTCAAACTATTTGGGGTTAAATGCTATTGTACTCTATCATTCTTCTTTTTTTGCCATTGCGGTCACTCTAGAAAGAGGATATAATAAGGTCACAAATTACAACATGTAGTGCTAAACAACACTACAACACCAGGATACAAAGTCTAACCTCGATAATAACCAAGGCAACAAGAGCAGAGTGTGACGAGCCACCAAATGAGCCACTATGTTATTTGCACGTCAAACGAACACCACCAAACAAAGATTGACAATATCCACATTGTTTTCATCTAGAACATGAAACTGGTAATGATCCTAATACTGAGATTTTAAACAACATTGTAGATTGTTTGTCGTCCTTAATTAGTAAGATAGACAAGTTTTTCAATAATTTGGAAGAACTTACTATTAAACACAGTGAATTTGAAGACCTGATCTTCAACACTAAATCCACTTTGGAATTTGTTATTAGTTCTCGAATTACGTCTGAATTTGAGAGGTTGAATAAAATTCGATGAGAATGAAATAATTCTTCTACTTCATAAAATATCCCTGAGTAGTTCATGTTCCTGGTTAGGAGCAGACTCACAATAGTTGGTATCGAGTCTAAAACTAAGAAGATTTATTTTGTTGAAGTTTGAGTAGTGTTTTATGAAAAGGAAATGATACATGACTGTTTTGAAATTTAATTCGTGTGGTCGTCCAAAAAAACCTAGGTGACTAGTTTGGAAATAGTTTCAAAAAGTGGTTATAATTTGAATTTGTTTCTTTTAGCTATTATTTTTGTAAATAAGCCTGAATATTGATAAACTAAATCTTACATTACTATAATCAAAGAAAATTAAATTACATTACTATAATAAATAAAGAATGAAGTGAAAAGCATATAGGGAAGTGACAAAGATCTCATCACATAGACTTGGTTGACTATTCTCAACTATGTATCAAGAGAAGGATCAAAATAAAAGAGCATAATGTCAACATTGTCTCCTAAAAAATTTGAAGGAGAAAAAAACTGGAAAAGAAATCGATTGACAAATAAAAAATCATAGAATGAGAGCAAAGTTGGAATAAGTGAATCTCATGGGATAAGGAGGTAATTTGGCACCTTGATTTTCAGCTCATAGCCAAATCCCAAGTCATAGTGTGGGGTTTGGAGGGAGGGAATATGGAATTTGCTAACTTGGATCATGCTTGCTCATCCCCACTCATGAAAGTGATCAAATTCCAATTCTCATGTGCTATTGGGAATTTGGGATTTGGTGGTGGTGGATGAATTACCCTTTCATTCTCGTCGATAAATCTTCCTATTTTTTATTTTATAGCTCCAATGAACTCTTCAACTCCGAGAGTGAAGGAAAGTATTTCTTCTCAAAGGCATTGGTCGATACCTTCATTCTCGCAAGAGCAAGCTCTGCCTAGGATATTGCCTTAGATTGTGGAGGTTGTTCTTGATGGTATGGAGTGGAGCGAGCTCACACATTGGCATCCATTTGCTTCTTCCATGTCTCCAATCGCTCTAGGAAAATCTCAAACTCGAATCTCACTTTAGGTTGTGAAGGGATTCCTTGATGAACCGGTGGGGTAACTGGGTAACCATGGAGTACAGTTGATGTGCATAGAGAGGGGCTAGTCTTTGATACCGAGAACATTGGCTTTCACTTCTTCTTGAAGTTTTGGGTAACACCATTCATGAGATAGTTGATATCTCCACACATTGTTGAAACCATAAGGGTCCATGTTTTAACAACTACAAACAAAATCACTAAAAAGAAGATTAAACAAATACAAAAACCTTTAAGAGGAAGATGATGTAAGTGTAACAATACATAAACGAAACACAATAAGATAAAGAACAAACACACATTTAACTACGACACTAAAATGAAATAAACACAAACATAAGACTAAACTAGTAGCTGTAAACCTTTCATAATAGAGCTAATACCACTGGAAATACCAATCTTTAACGAAAGTGTCATTTATATTACGTAACTTCAATAATTACAAAAATATTCTAACCTATTAGGTGTTTGCGTCATTTGTGTTATGCGAATTTATGTTGACGGTTAGAGTTGACGGTTGACCTAACGGTGGTCAACTTTTTGTCCACGTAGACGACACATAGATTCCACGTAGGAAAAATAATAATAATAATTTAAATAATTAATTATTTAATATTTTCTGAATAATTTTTCCTCCGCGCAGCTTTTCCTTTCCTCCCGCCGACCCCTCTAGCCACCTTCCTTCCACTCTGTCGCTTCATCTTCTCCATCCTTTCCACCATAGCCATATGCTCTCCAAACCACACACCACAAACTTACACAGAATCAACTCTGTGTACCCTCTTAGCAATCTGACCACCACCATCTCTTGATTCCATCCTTGTTCTGCCGATCCCGTTACACCGACTCGCCTTACGATATCATACCACGATAACATTGATTGCGTCATCGACGAAGAATCTGCAAAAAAGGGGATTAAGGTTTGTACGGGGAATGACGATGCCTCTCAAGTTGGATCCTGATTCTTAGTGGATGCTTGAATCCACCATATTTGGTATTCCAGTGGTATTAGCCCTTCATAATAACCTAAATTTCACCGATAAGGGTCCCAAAAACTTGATGAAGCTTCACAATTTGTAGTTTGGTTTGTAGACAATAATAACTACCCCAATCTAGGAGAAGTGAACCCTAAGTGAAGTAGTATAGTGGTGACCAATGTCGTATTCCTCGGGAACTCTAGGTCTACTACTACTCTCAGTCTCGATCTAATATCTAGCCAAACAAGATGGTAGGAGTTTAAGTGTGAAATAAACTAGTGAAAGAAAGAAAGAAATAAAATGTACGAGGGAGATCACAAGATAATAGACAACATTGATCATAATTCCAACTACCTTTCAATGCTTGCTAAGGGTTTCTGTCACGAGGGATTCTATTGATATATCACTCACTCTACGGAAATACCTAGACTAAGCTCTAACTCAATGATCATGCAATTATAGCTCCTATGAACTAAGTAGAGGAACTTGAGCCTGAATTCTCCCAACCCTAACTACTTAAGTGATGCATTTAGGTTAGGATTCCAATAATGAAACCATCTCTCTCTTCATGAGATAACCTCACTATGAAAGGATCATGTAATGCCTTGATCCGGTCACCCATCCAATCCTTATCTATCTAATGATGGTCCAAATCTTAGAGATTAGGGTACGATCACCTCATCAATCTCCAAAACCTAATTACACCCAACTTGAATTCAATTTCATGCAATCACTTGATAGACATATGGTATGATAAATTATGTGAGGCTATGATCAAGTCACACACAAAAATCCCCCACAACTATGGTGGGTCCAACCCTATAAATTAGAGAAAAGTCACGATCACACAAATAACACCCAAGAATCATGCACCAAGATGAACATAGATAAATAGTTGAAGGCGAATCAATGTAATCCAATCCATACAATAAAATCCCCAGCAAACATCTACTTGAGTTTTACATCTAACCAACACAAAAGTTTACTTCATAGTAGGGATGGTAATGTGTCGGGTTTGGGGCGAGTTTTCCCAAACCATTCTCATCCCTATTTTTAAATACTCAAACTCATAGCCGCCTCTATAATTATGCGGGGGAGGTTTTGCATCCCCATTCACAGACCCACTGTTTTTCTGGATACCCGTGGGTGATACCCGCCTCCTTATACATCCAACATTAATCTATCTAAAATTCGGCATGTAGATCTTTCATTATAACACAAAGCATACCTAATACATCAGAAAATCAACTACTATACAAATATTTTAATATGAATTCAACACATTCAATCCTAAAATATCCATTAATCCATAAGAAAAAGTAAAATATTATCCAAATTAAATCATGCATCTACGACACCGACCCATTTACTAAGTAATAAATAGCTATAAGTTAAAAGAGAGAAAGAAGTGAAGGTGTGAATGGAGAATTTGATGAAAAGAAATTAAGATTGGTTTAAACTATCACACAATTATATTTCAACAAATTATTTTTTTAATTACCATTTTTTCATTGATAGGTACAATTTGATATCTCTATTTGTTATATATGAAGAAATACAATTGGTGGGGCGGGGGTATGGATATGGGCATGAGGCGCTGGAGCCTAAAATCATACTCGTCCCATCCCCATCAAACTTTTTGCAGGTTTTGTCCATACCCAGCTAATGCGGGGAATTAGCTACCCGCAGTTGCAGGTTTGATTGCCATATATAAAGTTCCGGATAGCGTTTTCTTACTCAAGGTATGCGGTACCTAGGGATGGCAATCATACCCACCACCGCGGGTATCCGCCCGCCCCATACCCAGTCAACGCGGGGAATCCCCGCTTTGACTGGGTATGGGGCGGGTATGGGTAAAACCCGCGAAGAATCTGATGGGTATGGGGCGGGTTTGGTTTTAGGTGCCCCCGCTCCATACCCATACCCATACCCAACCCGTCAAACTTATTTGTTATATGCTAAAAATACAAGTACCTGTTTGTAAATTGTTAATGATATAAAGGGTAAATAAAATAAATATAGATGGCTAAAACATAATTTTACTTATCAAAACCCTAATTTTTAGACATAAAGGGATTTATGTAATGCTTTTGGGAGAGGCAATGCGACTTTGTGTGTTTGAACTTTGAAGTAGTCTAGTAGACTTTGATCTTTTGGAGACAATTAAACAAAGGATTGGATGTTTTTTCGTATTAAGAATGATTGTATCTTGTTGATTTCATAATTTATTTGGTTGTTTTAGTGTTATAATTGAAGAATGCATGTTGTTTATTAGGTGTAGAAGTAATGCATACATGGGATGGGTATTACCCATGGGTACCCGAAACCCGCGGGTATGGGGATGGGTATGCAAATCCTCCACCCGCATGGGTATGGGGCGGGGATGGGTATGGGTATATGGAAATGGGGATGGGGATGGTTTAGGCAAACCCGCCCCAAACCCGCCCCATTGCCATCCCTAGCGGTACCCCGGATTTCACCCCTGGGTACCATAGAACTTCCCAATATATATACCCAGGGTGAAATCCGGGGTACCACATACCTTGAGTATGAAAATGCACCCAGGGTGAAATCCGGGGTACCGCATACCTTGAGTAAGAAAACGCTATCTAGACCTCGAATTAGCAGGATTTTTGGGTATGATCCTATACCCTAACCCTTAATGAGTGAACCCTAGGTCCTAATTATCTAAATCATAAACTATAAACCCTAAGACGGTGCATTGATTTTTTGCCTACATTTGGACGAATCATAACCGTCGATTATTATTTCTAATTAAATTGATCTTGGGGTATAAGATTTAGAGAATTAAGACCTAGATTTTGATCATTAAGTGTTAGAGTATAGTATCATGTCCGAAAGATCAGTCAATTCAAGTTCTGGATAGCGTTTTCTTACTCAAGGTATGCGGTATCCCTGATTTCACCCTGGGTACAGTAGAACTCCCCATACATATATATATATATATATATGGTGGCGTATTCAGTGCACCCACTTTTTTGGGTGCACTCAGTGCACCCGCCTCATAATTGTCATTCTAAGCATGCGATCCTTGTCAAAACGGTATCAATTGTTGCTTACGATATTATGAACAACAAGCACATGAATTTGAAAAAAAAATCATTCAAAATTTACTTTAATTTGAAAGATTTAGGATTTGGGGATTTAGGGTTAGGGTTTAGGTTTACAATTTGGAATTTTGGGTTGGGATTCAAAATTGAAGGTTAAGAGGTTAGGGTAATAGATTGATTTGTTATAATTCTATCTCATATCATCATATTAGATCGAGAGTACTAATTAAAATTCAAAATTTAATGTACTATGGACACTTTTAGAGTTGGGTGCACTCAGTACACCCAAAAAAGTGAGTGCGCCGAAGTAGCCACCCACATATATATATATATATATATATATATATATATATATATATATATAGATATAGAGAGAGAGAGTGTATGAAAGAGAAGAAGAAAACAAATCTTGAGCTATATTCATCTTCTCCTTCTTGACTTGGCCACCCCTCTTGTATCTTGGGAGGATTTAGGGTTATAATGAGGAAAGAAATCCTTCAAAATCTCTCCAAACTCGCCACTGTCGATCTACATATGAAACCCTACATCTCTCTCTCACTCTCAGGAGTCTCTCTTTGCTCCAAAACAGCCGCCAAGTACTTATAGACCCGTGCACATGTCAAAGTTCACAACCTGAGGTCCGAGGGAGTTCACAACCGTAAACTTTTTGAAAGCTAACACTACTCAAGGGTTGGCTCACGGTTGTGGCCCAAGCCATGAGCATGACGGTTGGTTTCACCAAGTTCATGCACATGAACATTTTCTCACGTCCGAGACCTCTATCTCATGGTTTGACTTGTCGTGGTCGCGACTCGCGAGGTTGGCCATGGGACCTTCTGTACTTGTTGTTCATCGTGTTCTCGGGCTAAATGGAGTTCTTGATCACATAATGAGAATTCACGATCGTGAAGATTAGTTGTGAAGTAAGCCACTATTTGGGTCACAGCCGTGACCTGACTTTGGGTTTGCTTCATTTCTTCTTTTCAACCTTCAAATGACTCCCGATTGGCACAAAACTTGCTACACCCTCCCTTATATTGCTAGGACATGCAATTAGAAAATTAAGAAAACACAACCTAACATAGAATAGGATGAGAACGAGCAAGTTACGAGCCATATGACAAAGAAACAATACAAGTTGTGCTAAATCTTAGGTTATGAACATTTGAGCAGATATGGCACAAAATAAACCTGAAATATAACTGAAATACGATGATTATGACATTCAAACAACTAAGAAATATGATGCAAAAGAACATATATTTTAGATGTTATCAATAGGCGAGAATTCCAAAACAGCTAAATCTTAGGGTATGAACATTTGAGCAATATGAAACGAAATCAACTCGAAATGAACGAAATATGCTCAATTTTGACATTCAAAGAACCAAAGAATATGAGTCAAAATAACATCCATTTTGGATGTTATCAATAGGCGATAATTTAATAATGAAAAAAGTAAATTTTTATTCTTTGCCTCTTTTATATCTTTTTATTTTCGAGTGGTATCAAGAAAGGACAAGAGTTATATCTTTTTTTACCTCTTTTTTATATCTCTATCTACAAATCACTTACGTCGAAATTAAAGGCTTGTTTGCTTGATGGATTTGGTGAAGAATTTAGATCCATGATTGATTTTGTCCAACATCAATTGTTTGCTTCATGTATTTAGAGGTAACAAATTCGTGGAATCCTTGGACTTTGAAGGTCCAAATCCATGTACCCCACGGACTTTAAAATCTTACATCTTTAGTTAGGAATTGATTATGGACTTTGAAGTCCATCATTTTTTTTACCAACCTGCATCTCATATTTTCTTTCTCTTATGGGCAACAAAGGTAAATTTCACTTCATGCAAACAAATTTAATTAACAAAATCGGTCATGAAATCCATGGAACAAACAATGGTGTTTTCCAAATCCATAACGAGGCCAAAACTCTCATATATCCATGGTTTTTCAAAACCCAAATTATACCAAAAACTTTATTTTTCAAATCCACGAATCAAACGACGCCTAAGTGTCTCGAACATTTAGAAGGAGCTATTGTGACTTGTGAGCACCATAATCAAGTTGTGTTTTTTTTAGTCAAAGGATGGTGGGCAGCCTTACGACGGAGTGGAGCCCGCCAGCTAGCGGCGAATTTAGGTTGCGGCCTCCAGGTCGCGACCCAGCCCTCCTCTAGATCAAAGCTAGTATATCACTCGTAAATTTTTTTATTTTCGGCATTCGTTAAAGTGTTGGTCGAGCTACGACGCAGTCCACTCTGGTTCTTTTCAAAATGTGACCAAATGCTCTATCCAGTACGTGATCCGCCCCTGCCGCAAACTGTTCTCCATCGATGTACAGTGTATCCACCACCGCCGCACATACTCGTGAGTCGTGTCGTGAAAAGTGCACTTCGTCTTTTGCTACTGGGCAACACCTCCTGCCATGCACACCAACCTATTTCTTCCTCCATCCAACGGTTCATTTCCTCTGTTACCCTACCACGGGCGGCTCAGATCAAGACCTCGAAGTCCAACACCCCCTCTCCCAGTCCGTCTCTGTGACTGTGGCCCCAGTTTGCACTACTTTCCCTTCTCCTCGGAGTCGGCACTAACCGGCAGTTTCCAAAATCAGCTTACCAGAACCGCTCGAACCCAAAAATCCGAGCAGCATTTTTCACAGGCGGAGTGAGCACAAGCGATGGAGAAGGAAAGAGAGCAGCAGGTTTACTTGGCTAGGCTCGCTGAGCAAGCAGAAAGATATGACGGTTAAGCCCCCATCTCTACTATTATTCCTTGGATCTATTCATGTCTGTCTTTTTCTGCTTTTAGTGGCTGCTCTATTTGAGATTGTTTGAGCTTTGGGCCTGAACTTGTGAGTTTAGCATGTTCATTTCTTAAGAGTTGGTGGATCTGGGTGCTCTCTTCGCCAAATCCGTGCTGCGTTTTGGGATTGTTAGACCGAAGAAATACAATGTCTTAACTGTGTTCGCTTGCAGTTTTTACGAAGGGTAAAAGTTAGACCGAAGAAATGTCTGAACTTTTAATTCGCCTCTTCTACTACCTGTTATGGGTATTCAGCTCTTCGGCAACTTGGTTGATTGTTTTAGATTTTTGGTTGCCTTTTTTTTGCCGTTGTTGTTATTTGGCCGAGGTGAGATTCTCCCAATTACGCTTCTGGGTTAAGCTGTAGAAGTAAAAAAATGTCGCTTTGTTTCCTTTGTGTTGATTGCAATTCGTACTGGTTCGTAAATGAAGAAGATTTTCTTCGATAACATTGTTGATTAGAACTATGAAAATGATACTGCTATTGAGGTTCATGGCAATTGTGACCAGTGTTTGTTCTAGAAGTTCATGCACTGAAATGTTGCTTTCATTGCAACACCATCAATCCCCAATGGTTTTGTCTCGTCTTGATGCGTGAAATGTTGTTTCAGTGCAACACCATCATGTTCCTTGTCAGGAACGTGAGAGTTGTCTTTTAAGTCCTCTGTTTTTGGTTGTGCTAGTATGTAAGTACGTTATGAAGCTTCTGAAGCTGCTTGATCATGTGTATCTTGAACTTTCACTGAGTTAGTTGCTCATTTTGTTGCTTCTTCCACTCCTACTACTTGCAGAGATGGTCGAAGCAATGAAGAATGTTGCTAAGTTGGACTTGGAACTGACAGTGGAGGAGAGGAATCTGGTTTCTGTGGGTTACAAGAATGTGATTGGAGCAAGGAGGGCATCCTGGCGTATATTGTCCTCGATCGAACAAAAGGAAGAGGCCAAGGGGAATGAACAAAATGTGAAGAGGATCAAAGAGTACAGGCAGAGGGTTGAGGATGAGCTTGCAAAGATTTGTAATGACATACTGTCGGTCATTGATCAGCATCTTATTCCCTCAGCCACGTCAGGGGAGTCGACCGTGTTTTACTATAAGATGTGAGTGAGATTCACAAAAAAAGTCAAACCATTTCTTTGTGAGATTCACAAGAAGTTGTGATATGCGGTTTTCAAACTTTTATAGAGGCAGTTTATTGGCTATGAATATGCAAATTTTGATTTTATTGTTGCAGGAAAGGAGACTACTGCCGTTATTTGGCTGAGTTCAAGGGTACTGATGATCGCAAAGAGGCTGCTGATCAATCACTCAAGGCGTACGAGGTATTCCCAGGGCTTCTTCATCTCTGAACTTTTTTTCGTTGGTCATGCGTAACTTATTGCTAATGGGGCTTTTAGCTGGGTTGAGACTCATGTTATGTTTTTATGTTGCAGGCTGCCGCCTCAACTGCCGCATCAGATCTGCCGCCTACTCATCCAATCAGGCTTGGTTTAGCTCTGAACTTTTCAGTCTTCTACTATGAGATTTTGAACTCTCCTGAAAGGTTAGCAAGCTTCTCTCTATATCTTTCTGTTTCAACTTTCCTGGCCCCATAAGGCGAGCTATTTCCTCCACTCTCAATTTCAATTTGCAAGTTTCAATGAACTTGTGGATAACTTGTGTGTTGTCTAAGACAAATAAAACATGTTTTTGTGTAGGGCTTGCCATCTTGCTAAACAAGCCTTTGATGAAGCTATAGCAGAACTCGATAGTCTAAATGAAGAGTCGTACAAGGATAGTACTCTCATCATGCAGCTGCTTAGGGATAATCTCTCTTTGTGGACCACAGATCTAGCCGAGGAAGGAGGTAAGCCGAGCATTGTCTATTGCCTTCTTGAGTACCAGACCTGTCAGTGCATGAATGTTGCTATCTATGCTGGCTCTTTTTTAAGTTCAGGGATTGAAGCTTAAATTCAATGTGCTATAAGTTCCAGTTTTGCTAAAGAACTTTAAACACAGATGACCAAAAAGGCAAAAACCAGAATTTCAGATTCTACTATGATGGAGGTTACTCTTTCAATATATAGCCATCTCTTTTGAGCGGGTGAATGAATGACAAAGGGTTTAAAAAACCATGGATTGTGACACCGTATTGGAGATCAGACCTGTGAGACGAATGCTTCATTGTATTATAGAGGTACAATCACATAGTCCCATAAAAATTGTTACAAAACAGCAATGAAGTGTACACCAGCTTGGCTAACGGTATTTTTGTTAACCGGTGCAACCGGCCAGTAGTATATCTCCATAACTGGTTCAAACAACTTTGTTTGGGAAGGAAGAGACGGTATAATGGTGAACTTGGTTGTGGTTGATGCTTCATTAGTTGCTTTCAGTGGGATCTATAGGGACATTTCTAGACCTTGTTGGATGACCAAAAGTTTCTGCTTGTTTGTTTGAGCTGATGACCAAAACTTGTCAAGACACAATCTTTCTTACATTGGTAACAATATTTTGGCAGGTGAGCCGTCTAAAGGTGATGAAGCATAAGCATAGGTAACCAAACTATGAGCTCTGGACCTTGACAGTGTTTGATTCGGTTACTTTTGCTACGTACATTGAAAAATCTTTAAAAAAATCACCATTTTGGTTTCTTGCTTGTTCTGTTCATATTCTCATCATGCCTTGCTGGACTTTTTTATTATGCAGAATTAGCCTGAAGAGGATTGCTATTCTTTTTAAAAGGACTGGGTTCATGTTGGGAGGGGAAGGAAGGCCCTGGCGAAGATTAATCCTTGTTTGCAGGAGTTATAGAAGTAGATGAGCGGTGTGGCCGATTAACTTGTATCTAATGTGGTGAAAGATTCATTCCATCACGGGCTGTTCGATGTTGTGTTTTTCTTTATCTCCAAGAACACAAAGAAACTCGAATTTGAAACTGAGTTGATTGTAGTTTCCCCTTGCAATCATGTTTCGATGTTGTCTGTGATTCAAAGTTTTCAATCTAACCAACAATGGGGACTGAGAGCAACATCAGGAAACCAACAGATTTGCCAATAATGATGATGAGGTTGGTGAATATACAATGGCACAATGCAGGTATTGGCGATTCAGTGAGAAGCAGTCGCAGTTCCATTGCATTCTTCGGTATGCTTGTGATTGGGGTTCGAGTCGTTTCCTGAAGCAGGCAACTTGGAGCTGTAGGAATCAACGAGAAATGTTCTCAAGAGCTTGACGAACTCCTTGGGCTTCTCTACGTTGAAAGCATGCCCTGCATTCTTGATCACCTGAAGCTCTGCATTCTCCCCCACATGCCTCTTCATCCTGTAGGCAAGCTCCACCGGAAAAACTTGATCTTTCTCTCCCCAGATGATCAGTGTCGGCTGAGAAATCTTGGGAATGTCGGAGAGCCTCCTTCCTTTGGGAATAGCTTTCAGCAGATCTTTCTTCTCTTCCGTGAATTCCCCACACATCGACTTCAACAACAACAGGGGAAACAGAAAGAAGAAAAAAAGTCACATTCATTCTTTCCACCAACAAAATTTCAAACATGGGTGATCGTTTTTTTATTCCACCCTACCTCGATGAAATCGGTGAGCAAGCAAGGTGGAAGCAAACCCACCGGCGGCGGCCGGAAAAAAGCATAACCCACAAGCTCCCTCAGCTTATCGGGACACTGCGGGACCAGAATCTTCGCCGCTTCCTCCAAATCCGAAACGCTGAAGATCCCATCCTCTTTCAAATCCTTCTCCTCCATACAAACCCCGGAGCAGCAGATCACCACTCTGTCCACCGCGTCCCTGAACTGGGCCGCCATGCTGTAGCCCACGAACCCGCCGTAGCTGAGCCCGACGACGCTGAGCTTGCGGACCGGACTGGGCTGCCGCTGCAGGGCCCGCATCAGGGACCGGGCCTGGAAACCCTCGGTCCGGTCGGGTCGGGTCGTGAAGGAGTCGCCGAAGAAGACGAGGTCGGGAACGTAGAGGTTGAAGTGAGGGACGAAGTGGCGGATGACGTCCCCCCACTGCCAGAGAGCGTTGGCGCCGAAGCCGTGGATGAGGAGGAGGTTGGGCTTTGTCGGGTCGGGCGATTTGGGTACCCAGCAGTGGATTACGGTGCCGTCTTGGAGGTCCGAGACGGTGGATCGGAGCCCCGAGGAGGAGAAGGCTGATCTGTAACACCAGTTCCTGGTCTCCGTCAGGCTGAAGCACGCTGGCATTGTTTCTAGAAGGAACTAATTGAGAGAAAACCCAGTCAGCTGGGAAATGGAGGGTGAAGAGATTGGGGGAAGAATTGAAGGGAATTATAATGGTGGTGGGAAGTGGGGAAGGAAGAAAGTGAGGTTCTGGTCCACAGGCTGGAAGAAATAAAAGAGGGGTGGTTAAGTTGATGACGACGACGCTGCGAGTCTGTCTCCTGCCTTGCTCTGGGTCTACTCTACACAGTTGAGAATGGAGTGATTATTATGATATCCATCTTTTATTGATTGATGAAAAGGGACCTACGCCTTTTTCCTTTTTTTTTTAATCTCTAGAAAAGAAGGGGACTCATCTTTTCTGTAGCAATTAGCCAATTACCATGGATGTGGAAGGATAAGGAAAGAGGCCGCATGTATAATGAAGGAAATAACAATTAGCAGCAGCCTGATCTTGGAAGCAAAGTGGCCATTGAAGCTGTTGCTGTCATGAGGAAGAAAGTAGAAGAAGGAAGATGGAGTAGTTTGCCAAATTTTGATATTTGAGGATGTATGTATTTACTCCTTTTTTCTTATCATTAGATAACTCGTATAATGGAGGAAAGAAAACGTATCAAAGTCAATATACTATCGTGAAACAGGACGTCAAAATTAAACCCCAATAAACTGGGGAATACGTAAAAGGGTATTTTTCTCTATCAAATGGGTAGCCATGTTTCTAAACCGACCAATAAAGCAGACATTAAAACACTGTAAATATTCTCTGAGAGCATCTATGTCTCCCAAAATGGCACCCCCACGAGCATCCAATACTACATCCCTGCTAACCTTATCAAATACAGTCTTTGCATCACCAACAAACACCTGAAGTGGAATCTGATGTGGTGAGGATAGTTTCTGATCTCATCGACCATGAGAACAAGATGTGGAAAAGTAATTATCTACATCACTATTTCAATCCTACCGGTAGGGAAAATGATTACTGGAATCCCTATTCCTAGACAGTCTGCTGTGGATGAGAGTGTGTGGAGCCATGAAAGAACAAGAGTTTACTCTGTTAAAACAACATATAGGCTAGCTTGTAGAACCAAGAATGTTGGTGTGGAGGAAGCCGGTCAGAATGAGGACGAGGGGGAAGAGGTGACACTGTGACAGGGCAAGATGTATAGGTGTATGATCCCATGAACTGGAAGCAGATGTGGAGGCTTACAATACCAGCAAAGGTAAAAAAAAATTCTCTCGAAACTAGTGCACAACATCTTACCAACAAGGAAAAACATTGAAATCAGAAAGAAAGAAAGAAAGAAGCTGCTACGGAATGCCCATTCTGTCATCTGGAAGAAACCCATAACCATATCTTTCATGAGTGTCAGTGGGCGATCCAAGTACGACGACAATCGTCTTTTAGACCCCTTTTTGAGACGGAATTAGAAATATCGTCGGGAAGCTGGATGTGTGAGGTTATGGAGAAAATGTACGATGCTACGATGGACCAATTTGCGCTAATACTATGGATGATGTGGAATGAACGAAATAACCAGATGTTCAATCGCAAAAAGGCGGAGGAATGGGAAGTGGTTGGGAAGGCCCTAGACTACTGGGAAGAATTCAATTCCTATCATAGCAATGAAAGCAGCACCGAGAAGCGGAAGAGGTTACATGGACAAAACCATCGAGGGGATGGATGAAGGTGAATGTTAACGCGGTGGTGATGCAGAAGGAAGGAACGGGGCTGAGGATGGTACCGAGGGACGAGAACATGGCGTTTCTGCGAGCAGCTGTTCGTCGGACGAGGAATTGTTGGCCGCCGGAGATAGCGGAAATGATGGCGGTGGAATTTGGATTACAACAGCTGGAAAGGAGTGGATATCGACAAGCGGTGGTGGAGATGGAAAGCGAGACTGCAGTTTTTGCTCTCCAAAAGGCGGATCGAACGAGATTGAATCGGGTCAGGTAGTCCAAGAGATTCAAGAGGAAGCCCAGCGCATCAGGTCCATTAGATGGAGTTTTACTAAACGGGTTGTGAATGAAATGGCCCACTATATGACCCATGTTTTGTGTAACTAGGAAGCCCAAGAGGTATGGGATTCCAGACCATCGTTTTTCCTCCAAAGCCTTTTGGTTAAGGAGACTCTAAGTCCTTAATAAATTACATGTACCTTATTATCAATAGAAATACCAAATTTTATATTTGAACGATAATTTTATGTTAATATAATTCGAAAATTGTAACTGTCACAAAGTATAAAATTTTACAATCAAGTTTAACCTATATTTGAAACTGGTCTTCAAAACATTATCGAATATTCATTGAAAAATAATTGGGAAGTATTGGGTTTATGAAGAAAAATAAAGAAAGATTAGTATTGGGTTATATGAAGAAATGGGAGGGTTAAGATTGAAAGTAACGACAATAAAATGAGCTATTTGGGATGATTCATTTGCGAATGACTCGTTTTTGTTTTTTGTTGGCAAACGAGTCATTTGATAGAGTGTACAACCCTTAGTTATTTCATTTGTTCCAAAATATATGAAAGTGAATATCATTTTTAAGAGCTCAATTAATCTAATTTTTTGTAAAAAAAATTAAATGTTGGCATAAAACGAAAGAAATATGGTATGTTAAATAAAATTGCGAAAAAGTTAGCATGATTAGTTAAGTCCAGTCTAATACCAATATAAGTCATGACAATGAGCCAAATTACCCAGATTGATTGCCATAAGATCCAATGTTGTTTAAAGGGTTAATAGCATTTTGTACCCCTCTACTATTATAAATTAACAAACGTATCCCTCTATTAAATTTTTGCACAAACGTACCCTTCCTAATATTAAAAAGTAACAAGTTTAACTTTCTATCTAATTTCTGTTAAGTGATGGTAAATGGGGTTGGGAAATGACCCAATTGCCCCTCTCTTACCCCTCTCTTCTTCTCATCCTTAGGGGACCGGAGGCCTTTCTGGAGGCTGTTTTGAAGCCCGACTTAGGTCGGCCGGGTCCAACCGGGGGTCCGATAGGAGTTCGACAACCTTGGTAAAGGCCTAGAGGGAAGCAGGATGAGAGACACAAATTTATTTAAAAACTAGAGTTATTTACATAATACGCAAGATTAATATGTGCCACAAAGTTCATTATAATATGTTGGTAAACAAGTAAAACTAGTGAATATGTGTTGAGCTTGAGTATTATGAGTTGTGTACAAATGTTGTTATTTTTTAGGGTTAATATTCTCGTATGGCCTGAACTTTGACCAAAATAAACATCCTGGCCAATCTTTTCGATCTATAACATCCTGACCCGAACTATACACCAAAATAAACAATTTGGCCAGATCCGACTTTTGACCGTTAACTTGGACGGTCAAACACGTTGACTGTTAGTCAACGCGCCATATCACTGCCAAGTCAGCATAAAATATTTAAAATAATTCACAATTTCCACACATTTCCTAATTTTAAATTATTATAAAATTAAAAAAAAAATCATCTAATACCTTAGTTAAACCAAAAATAAAAAACGAAAAAAATTAAATATTTATCAGATCTTCTGACTTGGCAGTGACGTGGCGCGTTGACCGTTAGTCAACGCATTTGACCGTCCAAGTTAACGGTCAAACATCGGGTTTGGCCAAATTGTTTATTTTGGTGTATAGTTCGGGCCAGGATGTTATAGATCGAAAAGATTGACCAGGATGTTTATTTTGATCAAAGTTCAGGCCATACGAAAATATTAACCCTATTTTTTATGTCCAACCCGAGCCAAGGTGGGTCTCGGACGGAACCCACCCTCGTACATGCTGGCTCCACTACTGAATTTATCCTTCCTCTTTTTGTTAAAAAATTTGAAATTCCGAATAACTACTCCAAGTATTAATAGTTTAATACTAGTATACTACAAAGGTTTTTCTTTTTTCCTCGGGGATGACTAGAAAGTAGAAAATGATCAATGATTTATCACTTTAGACTTATTTATTGAATACATTATAATAATTCAATTCCACGCGAACCACGTGGCTATAGTTTTGTTCCCACGGGACTGGTAGGTTACCACTTATCACTACTGGTATTGGGGATAAGTTAGCGTGACTACCCCTAAAGGGGTAGTGATTTTTGACACCCCCTTTATGATTGGCCAATTTTATTTCCAATCATTGGCAAGTATTAATTAAACTGATTTTTTATTTTTTTTAATCTTGTAATTTGGGGTCTCTCACCACATTGGAAAAGAGAAAGAATCTGGGGAAAAACGAAATCACCCCCATTAATTATATAATTAATTTCTCTCACTGGTACATTAATTACACGTACCACTCCACTGGTACACGTACCACTCCACTGGTACACGTACCACTCCACTGGTACACGTACCACTCCAATGGTACACGTACCACTCCACTGGTGCGAGCAATCCACAAGGTAGGTTAGAGTGAGAACAATACCAGTGCAATGATATTTTTCATAACAATGATAAACAATAATAGGGAAAAAATAGGAACTTTCCATTAGTAGCCAAAAACTGTGTTCCAAAATGGGTTGCAAAATTAGGGAAATGCCAACAACAATGCCAAAAGCAATAAATTATCCTTCGAATGTGAATAAACATAAAGTCTTCACAATTTTTTAAGCCTAAACAGGACATATGGTTACACGTACCACTCCACTGGTACACGTACCACTCCACTGGTGTACCAGTGGAGTGGTACGTGTACCAGTGGAGTGGTACGTGTACCAGTGGAGTGGTACGTGTAATTAATGTACCAGTGAGAGAAATTAATTATGTAATTAATGGGGGTGATTTCGTTTTTCCCCAGATCCTTCCCCATTCATAATTACCAACGTTTTTCTCCTTCCCCATTCATAATTATTATCACAATTAAGGCTTTCCCAATTTACAAGATTACAATAAATAAAGTAAAAAGCTTAAATGGAAAAGTGACCAATCAAGAGGAGGGTGTCAAAAACCACTACCCCTTTAAGGGTTAGCATAGTATCCGACCCCCTGGTATTGTTCCTTTCATCTGAGCGGGGGTTGGATCCGAATTTAAGTCACTCAATTCGTTGGGTTCCATCAACCCCTATTTCATGTAGGAGAAATAATCGGTAAATTGCAAGATTGGTCACTAAAAGTCGGAGAGTACTAAATACGTTTAAATTTAATCACTAAAAATGTTTAACTCTATTTGTGATCAATAGGTTTAACAATACATGTTATGTTTGGTCACTTTCTGCTCAGTTCCATTAATTCTGTCTGATGTAGCAGTCAAACTCTCAGAGTTGACCGTTAAATGTATGAG